GATTGGAGACTTGGAGATTGTTGGGGTTGATACTCGGCTGCATCACAGTTCGGACACCGGTTACATTTGGACTCTGCACCTCCGACATTGTTGACCTATTGTCCTCGACATTCTGATCTTGTTGGATGACATTTTTGGACTACCATATCGGTGACCTATCAGATTCTATCTCGGTGACCTTCGGTGCTGTCTACCTCCCCCACCTCCTTCGTCTCTCCTCCCACCTCTCATCTGTGTATGTGTGTGGAGTGATTCTTGAGTAAGTCTGTGTGAGTCAGCCTATGAGAGTCAGTCCGTTTATCAGACTTCCGCTGCATATATGCTCATCCTACATTGGTTGATCTTTGGTTCTGCCCATACTTGTTGAAGTATGTAACAGTTTTGGTATCGGAGCAGACCATATTAACGGATCTGCTCACCAGGTAAGACTGATTTAGGAATTAGATTGTTTCTTCAATCTTCCAAATCAGCGCTGTATTACTATCAAGTTCAAAGTTGCAAATTTTCTTTTTCTTTTTCGGTAGTCTGTTTATTTCGGCATTTCCGTTTCAATTCAGTATTCGGACTTATTATTCGGATTTCTGTTTTACGCCGGTATGCTGTTTAATTAGGTTCCGAGAAATTGATACTAATCCGACATACTGTTTAATTGGATTTCTGATTAGGAATTCGTAATTAGGGTTTAATCAGTATTCTGTTTAACTCGGCATTCTGTTTTCTTCGCTATTCCGTTTTATTTCGGCATTCTGATTCTTAACCCGGTAGTTCGTTTTCCAAATCGGCATTTCCGTTTTATTGCAGTAGTTGAAATTAGGGTTACAAAATTTTGGTTTTCACTTAACTTGGGAAATTCGAACGTTTTGGGCACCGTAAATCCGGAAATTCCGCCGAAACACGGAAAATTAGGCTTGGGCCCGAAATTTTCGCGAATTTTTTTTTCTTTCCTTTGTTTTGAGAAATTCCGAAAACAGGTTTAGGCCGTTAAAAATCAGATTTTGACGGTGGAAATTCCCGAAAATTCACGTTTTCGAAAATTCGAGTGTTTTTCCTTGTGCAAGGAAGATAAGCATTAGCGAACTTCAGCAATCAAAACAGCATCATACATATGAGCCCAGATAGTCTTGACCTCGAACCAGAGCAGACTTGCATTACGAGATACACCAAATAAGGACACACCAAGAGTTCAAAATTGACAATGCTGAAGTAGTCCCATCATCATCAACTACGAACCAGAGTTGATATCCTATTGGCGCTCGGAGCCCAGACTACATGTGGCAGATCCTATCTAGCCTATACTGCGAAGCAGAATGATGACATCAACATCGTTCCCGAAGTACGATCATATGGCGACCAATGTCGCACGCTTCAGCACCAGGTATGTCTCTCGTAACACTCACCACCCCGATCCACACCGCACAGATGCCACTAGCACCCCAAGGACCACCCTGCGCTTCACCTAGCATACAGCAGCGTGGCTTGGCTATGGCTGCGTGCTCCTTCCTACTCGCCCGTGAGAGCGTGAGTGCCAGCCAGCCAGCGGATTGCGCAGCAGCGCTCACGCAGCATGCAGCCAGCACCCGAATGCTGAATGAGGAGGCAGGCCCTTCCCTATATCGAAGTGGCCTGCCTGCGTCCAGTCCAGGAAGCTTCCGGTAGGCCCCGGTAGGCACAGGCCCAGTCATGAAGAGAGCAGGCCTTGGGCCTGGATGGTTGCATGCGCCCAACTGCTTTCGGCCTGTGTTTGGCCCGGTACCCGTATCCAGCCCAGGGCCTGCTTCACATTCTTTTACACAGGCGGCCCAGGACCCGGATTCATTCAACCAACTGGCGCAAGGCAACTGTCTGAATTTCCCTGATGCGGGGTACCCTGAAGAATGAGGCCCGAAGGGCCTGTCGTGCCTGCCTTCACTTAGGGCGGCTGGCCTGGTTGCAGATAGGGCCGCGTAGGGGCTAAGCGGGCGTAGCCTCGCATTCCCTCCTCCATATCTTCATTAGTCCTCTGCGAAGATCAATCTTGAGCCATCTGGCGCTTTCCTTTCAATACATCCTTCTCATAGCGGGCAACGATTTGAGGAGCGGTCTGCATCAACTCCTCCCGAGTAAACCAGCGGTCCTCTTTCGGATCCGTGTGATGTCTGAAGTGGACACGGAACTGCAGTTTTGGCTTCGGAGGACGTCCCCTTCCTGGAGGCTTCTGAACAGGCATCTCCCTGTGGTCGACGATATCATCGATGTCGACTTCTCCGTTCATGGTTGGGGGCAGCATTGACCGACGAGAGGGAAATTGATCAGTTTCCTTGAACGCAACGAGCTTAGAGGCGTGAAAGACAGGGTGAGTTCTGAGATGACCAGGGATACGGATGACATATGATGGACCATCAGGATCTGTCCCTACTACGTCTAGAACTTCCCAAGGCCCAAAGTACTGAGGCATGAGTTTGCGGGATATTCCGAACTCCTGTCCCAGTTCTGAAGACTTGACCCAGACTCTGTCCCCAACCTGAAATGTAGAAGGGCTGCGGTGTCTATTCTCAGACTCTACCATTGCTGCCTGCGCCTTCTGCATGTGTTCTACAACCTCCTGCATCTTCTGTTCATATCTATAGGCGAACTCCAAAGTGCCCGGTGTAGCAGTTGGCTGGTTGTCTGGAAGTAGGAAGTCTAAGGGCAGTCGAGGCTTGAATGTCAGCTGTAGACTGTTAGGACTCGTCCCGGTAGCACTGTGTACAGCGTCGTTATATAGACTGGCGACTTGAGCAAGCTTTTCGTCCCAGTCTACCTGATTGGGCTTGATGTAGTGCCTCAACAGGTGTTGCACAGCGCGGTTCATTTAGTTCCTAGTCGAGCAAGTGTCGTAATAGGCCCCGGCCTTGCGGCCTCCTATAACTACCTCGCTGACAAACATTTCACTCTTAGGGGCTTTAACTAACGCCGTTCAAGAAGCTAGTGGATCTGATCTAGACCACTCATGCTCTAGCTCCTCTGAGGATTCAAACACATTCATCGAACAGAGGGTCGATGGGTCTGAATGTGTTTGCGGGACAACTGATGTAGCTTGGGCCATCTCTCGCGAAGGTGAGGGTGAATCCACCATCGCGACCCTAGTAGGAACAACTACTATCCCTACTGGCCCGACATGTTTCCCGGAGCACTGCCTGAAGAACTAGCAACGTTGCTACCAACGGGTTGAGAGGATCCTACTGCCGACCCCATAGTGGGCGGGATCTTCTCGGTGACCTTCCTATTGCGGCACTTGTACATGGTATGACCATATTGGCCACACTTGATACTAGCTTGCCGTGCCCACCGATCTCTCCACACGTCCTCTGCTAGACCCGCTTTCTCCCATGGAGGAGCATTGGGGTCTGTTTGACTCTTCGACCGGTATCCCCTAGGGCGTCTATCGGTCCCTTTACCTTTTTGTTGGGTTACGGCGGCGACTACTCCACCCTCTGAAGTATCGCCACCTGCCTCTGCACCTACTCCCTCCTGGAGGTTGCCGTCCAACTCGATGGTTGAACCATCATTGTCGACAAACATTAAGCGACCCTTCGCCTTCCAGTTGGGAGGCAGTGTCTTCTTTCTCCCTTCCGTAGTGGATGCCTGTCCATGCCCTATCTTTGCTTCAAGGTCTAGGGCCACCTTGCTGAACGAAGGAAAGTTGTGCATATTAATGTTGGCCTCTTTTGCCAACTGGTTCCTGAGCGGCAGAGATAAGGTCCTCAGGTACGAAGTTAGCAGGACCTGGGGGTCATAGCGTACCCCTGGAATACAAATCAAACGCTCTACAACATCGGTCGCATCCCTTACTGACTTAAACTGCCGGGTGTGAGGTGTCAGGATCGCATCAGTGGCCTTTTGAGCCTCCTGAGGATCATGCCACCTTTCTTCCACCATTCTTAGGAAGTCTTCCAATTTCTGAAAGGCTGCCCAAGAGCGGAAGTCATGACCATACCCCTGGAGTTGCACTAAACCACTCAACCATCTCGTTGCACTACCCTCCAGGTAGGAAGCAGCCACAAGCACTTCTTTGTGAGGCAAGGTGAGTTTACACCTGACGTAGACCGGCACGGCCCTCAACCATGTGTCGAGGTCCTCGCCTCTCTTATCCCCTGTAAAAGGTTTGGGAGCGGCGATGACCGTCTTTGGAACCCACTGTGTCTGTCCCGGTCCCTGCATCATTCCAGGCTGTGGACCCGGTGAAACAGGTTGCTGTGCTAGCTGCTGAGGCTGTGTGCCCTGATGCTGCACTAGCTGCGAGACAGCAGGCTGCGTGGTGATTGCAACCTGTGACGGACTTGGAGTAAACACTGTCTGAACAGGAACCTGCAAACTACTCCCTGCTGTTACCCCTCCTGACAGAGGCATGCCCAGGGAAACGATAGCAATCGTTGAAGGGGCTACATATGGGGATACCCCAGTCACCGGTGGAACAGAAAGAGGAGGATATGGCACGGGCCAGGCACCAGGCCCTGCTGGTGATGGTACTGCCTGAGCACGGCCTGCCAACACAGCTAGGCTTTGTTGAATGTCCTGAAGGATGGTAGTTTGATGCTCCTGCATCTCAATTACGCCTAGCAGGGCCCTCCTAACTACCTTCACATCATCATCCATATGTGCCAGGTCCATCGTCTCTAACTCCTCTATGTCTGCCCCTCTCTGTTGCATCCTGGTTCTCCTTCTAATCATCATTTCCTTCTCTCTCTTTATCTGTCCTAATGCCTGCTGTAACTGTGCCTCTTGCAGGGCTGCCTGCTGGATGGCGACATCCTCTGGGGACAACACCGCGGGCTGGCTTGCCATTAAGCCAGTGGACTGACTCACGGTCTGCACGACCGTGGACCCGGGGGTACCTGAACTACCGGCTTGGGAAGTCTGCTGCGCAGACGTGCTCATGGCTGTGTTAACCATGGCTGCTATAGCACTRGCCTCGCTAGCAAATGCCCTGCTGGCCTCGGCTGCTCTAGCTCTCCTCTCCCTTTGTCGGCGGAACAGTTCCCTATCACCCTCCAGTCCTAAAGACACGTGGGATACTGGTCCTCTAGCTGATCGTAAGGTCTTGCGGTCGTCCTCTCCGGTGTCCTCCACGTCGCTCATAGGCTACAACACTGTGCACTGTCCACACTAGATCATTCTATATGCCTACCGCAGCATAGTACACAGACCAACTAATTAGTGGCGGCTATCAGAACAGATCTCATTTGGGGTCAACAGGTAAGTGAGGTTCCTATTGTCAATACTATTTTTAGTAAGATTAGTTCCCAAACAGAGAGAGCATCAGGAATAAATAATATTCTAAACTAATGCT